GCGCGAAGGCGCCTTACGAATCCACAGAAATCTAAACGAATCTAGATTTTTGCCATCAGGGTTACAGCAAAATAGTATGTTTGCGTGTCTATTGATATATCGGCTATTCCATATCCACAGTGCTCTTCGATTCGGCCGCATTTTAGGCCAGAATAAGGGTGTGCTTGTCTAAAGACGGTTAAAAACGAAAAAATGTAATTCCCATCCAATCTTTTTTTAACGCAGCCAGAGGAAATATATTTATAGCTCAAAAACAATGGCCCACATCAATGCCCAAATTTCACGGAACTGAGGAATGAACCCCATGACTACAGGGTCAGGCGTTGAGAGATGGCTGATTTACGATAGTTCATGACTTAATAATGGTCACCAAAGTCTCCCCTGCGGATCCTTCAGCATACCAGAAATGATTCTAATACGGACGAAACTGATGCCCTTCGCACCCAAAATGCGGAAACCACATTCAATTTTCAGTTTGTTCGTTTCTGAAATGGGGGTTACAGTGCAGTATTGGGGACTGTCTGTGGAATCGTCCAGCTAACATACATGTACCATATCTATGGCAATCTACTACTAGAGTACGGCATACAAGCCAGCTAACATTCCATTCGGACTTTCTGTACCACCTATGATGCTCCAGATGCTTGAAAAACTCAAAGGTCAACATCGTTGTGGCAGTAATACGACTGAATAATGACAAACCTTTGGTCTGAAAACAGGGCTCCCTGAGCGTATTCTTTGGAGAATTTCAAGGATTATCAAGTCACAGTCTCCGAATGGCGGTGAATAACAGAATAGTTCATGCGCAATTATGGCAAAGGAGTAGACGTCTCCTTTCTGGGTTCCCAGTGGATATAGACATGGGTGGCGCAGTATTTTTGGCGCAGTCCAGAGGAGATCTAAAATAATACAGTAATTATATAATCAAATATAGAGTTTCTTTTTTACTTTATGGACCAAGGTAGTGTCCTCATGCGATAGAGACATGTGTTTGTAAAGGACTTTCTTTTAGTAGGAACTTTGGGAAATCTAGAGACAAAAGAAATAGTATCGCTTGTTTTAACATGCATTGTAGTTGGCCAAATGCGAAATCTGCCTGTCAATTTCTAATCGACAAAAATATAATTATTATTATCAGATCTCCATGCAACGGATGACTACCTCTCACCTGAGATGGAGACAGTGTTAAATACGTAAAGTGCACTGGTCTACTATGGCAGTATCATATGTTTCGGGCCATAAGGTATACACAAAAGCCGTTACTTCTTTCCAAAGAACGACAGTGCGTCTTATTATCCAATGCCGTGTGCCTTACCCAATCACTCCGGTGTCAGTAACCTGAATTAATCGATAAATAAGGTGCCCTGTCGTTTCTTGGGGAAATTGAAGACTTTCAAACGCGCCGTATAGTCCCTAAAATATGATAGAGTTTACCTCGTTATCATCCCAGTTGTGAGACAATCGGTGCTTCGACGACTAA